CAAAATCCCAAAAATATTCAAAATTCCAAAAATATTTAAAATTGAAATAAATCCATCAACGCGCTTAAAGCAAAATCCATCCGCCCTCCGCAACAGTTTGTCGAGGCGGACAAATTTAAATAAACTCTAGCTCACAAAGAGCTAATGCCTAGTCGAAAATATCACTAGGATCCATTCTCAAATAATCTCTTGCCAGTAAGGACGTGGTACGTGTCCTCTAACCGGCAGTTTCGCCGCTAAATGGCACTGCAGGTAAACGGTTATGACCCGGGGCCCTCTGAACCGAGTGGTTTTGCCGCCAAATGGCACCACAGATAGCGGTTATGGCCAGAGCCGATACGCTCCTTAATGGCGTTAAATCCTTGAGATATGAATCAATAGGATATGATCGATAGGGCACAAAGCCCTCTGTCAGCTAAGGTGGATTCAAATTTGTCCCCTTAGACAAACATTCAACCCCGGTCTACAAGGTCCCCTTGGACGAAACAACCCATGGCTGCCGACAAGGATCCTTCTGTCAGGTTGGGTCGACTACCTCCTCTGACTAAGTAGACCAGGGACCACGATGGCCCGGGATGACGGAACCATGGGATCTTGATCGGGTCCATCATCCATTCCCCCACCATCAGCTTTTAAGTGCAGGATGGTGAAATTTCTACTTTAAATATCAAACTCTCCAAATTCCCAAACCCAAATACAGTTCTCAAATACCCAAATCAAAACCCAATTTCCAAATCCAATTTCTACCAATATCTAAACCATTGCTGCTACTATATGCCAGATAACACGTATATTCTACGTATCTGATCGACGACTAGCCTTAATCGAAAGTTCTCTCTCGTGATCGGGAGGGGTAATTAACTATAGGGGCTTGCGCCTATAGGAAACCAGAACTCAGATCATAAAGTCCTCGCAAAATGAGGGCGAAATCTCTGGGTAGTGTCTTATCTACAAACCCATCTGCCTTCCAAAATTTACCTCGGAACTTAGTTCGTTAAAACTCCCTCGCCGAATAAGAAAAGCGAGTGGAGGCCGAGGCCGAATTTTTGGAGCCCACAGCCTCTAATTATTACTTTCCCTTTAATGCTCCCAATCAATGTCCCTCCCATTAGGGTGTGTCTCCCCCTCCCTACCCCTAATTTATAGACATTCAAATTCAAATCTCCCCCAATCTCTCATCCACTTAAAGAAGCCATTAATTCCTACTAAATCCCAATTGATTTTTGTCTTAATTTGCATGCCACCTAGACAAGAAATTAATTCCAGAATTTTGTTAATTGTTGGAATTAAATTCAAGGTTTCTTGTTTGCTGCCCTTCCTTACTCATCACCCCAAGTAAGGAATTAAACACCTCTCTAGGACCGGCCATAAGCCCCCACCCACCTCTCTACACTTCTTCTCCTTCGCTTGATGTTTTCACCTAAGAAGGAGAAATAAATCTTCCTCCCTTGGCCGGCCACACCTCAACTGTTGCGGGACTTTAATCCCTTGTCGACTATAAGGTGTGTTTACTTCAAAGCGCATCCACGAACGATAGGCGACCGGATCCTGGAGAATGTTGGAGACAAGTCCAGAAGCTTGAGAATGGTGAACTCTTCTCCTAACCCTTTTATCTTTGACTCCTCAATTGTGGCATCGTTAAAATTATGAAGATTTCTCCGTTTAGCCCTTACTATGAGCGTGTGTGAGTGGATGCTTATAGTGATTATTCTAATTGTTAACAGAGTGATTTTCTTTGAAAGCCCAACATCAACAGGGTTTGATTTAATTTGATTATTTTGTGCTCCGAATACTATCATATAATTGATTTCCTAAGCTTAATCACTATGTTGTTGGCTTCACTCTTTTGTTTAATGTGGGAAGTTGATTAATTCTTATTGTTCTCTTTATGAGCGTGCAATTTCAAATTTTATAACAACATTTGTATGTAGTTCGACATCACAAACGGGTTGACCCTAACCCAAAATTTTTGGGTTGGGTTAGGGTCGGGTTTTCGTGTTGTGCCAAATATTGACACACCTAGGAGGTATCGCCTATCAGTGTTAGACCCTACCGGTACCCACAGGTTCAGAACGATGAAATTGTGAGAGACTGATCAAGGAGATGTTGGAGGCCCAGATCATTCATCCCAATGTTAGTCCCTTTTTTATGTTATTGGTCAAGAAGAAGGGCAATAGTTGAAGATTTTGTGTAGATTATTGGGCTCTGAATAAGAAAACGGTGTTAGATAAGTTTAATATACCTGTCATTGATGAGTTATATGGAGTGGTGATGTCCTCCAAGACTAATCTGAAATCGAGATACCATCAAATCAAAATGCGGCCAACTAGCATTGACAAGATTGCTTTTAGGACTCACAAAGGCCACTACGAGTTCTTAGTGATGCCTTTTGGGCTTACCAACGCCCCAACTACCTTCCAATCACTTATGAACAAGGTATTCCAGTCCTACCTCTGCAAGTTTATATTGAATTTCTTCGATGACATTTTGGTGTATAGCCGGTCTGAGGCAGAGTATGTGGAGCACTTGAGGGTTGTGTTAGTGACATTAAAGGAGCATCATCTATATGAAAATTTAAAGAAGTGTTCCTTGGAGTATTCGGGACATGTGGTGTCAAAATCATGATTAGCTGCAGGTCTTTTCAAGATAAAGGCTATGTTGGAGTGCCCCTTACCCAAAACCCTAAAGGAGTTGAGGGAGTTCTTGGGATTCCCATGATACTACAGGAAATTTGTGAGGGGATAGAACTCTATAGCATGGGCGTTGACAGAGCAACTGAAGAATGATAGTTTCAAAGAGGAGGGGCGGCACCCAAGCATTTGAGCAGTTGAAGAAAGCCATGACGAGTACTTCTGTGTTAGCACTAACAGATTTTAGCTAGCCGTTTGTAATGGAGACTGATGCATTAGGCTATGGGTTGGGCGCAATTTTCATGCAGAGTAAGAGACCCATAGCTTATTTCAGCTAGGTGTTGTGTGAGACCTCCAGGATTAAAGTACAATTCAGACCAATTTCAACCGATTGAAAAAAGTAAATATTTAAAATTTTGTGTTTCAAATCCATTTGCATGTATTTGAAAGTGCTTTAATGCTTGAAAAAGATTGCATGTGCTCTAGAATGAGTCTCAAGGGTTTGGAGTAAATTATGACAAAATCTAAATAAATATTACTATTTGAGCGTGTCAATATTGGGTGTCTAAGCGTCTCGACGCTGCTACAGTACCAAATGCCAAATAGTGGCATTACAACGCTCTAAGCTCTATAATTTGAATTTTTGAACTAACGCCACAGCACTAGGCCACTAATTGCACTTTACATATATTTTAAAATCATTATTCCATTCATTTCGAGCCCCACATGCTTTCTCCAAATCAATAAAATTATATGTAGATCCTCCTTATTCTCTCTATACTTCTCCATCAAACCAATCAAATTCATTAAATATATAGCTTCCATAGTAGACCTATCCGACATGAATCCAAATTGATTTTGAGAAACATTAGTATCATGTAGTAACCTATGCTCAATAACTCTCTCTCCTATAGTTTTAATGCATGACATATTAAATTCTCATATTTAATTCATCAATTATATAAAATTGATCCAAAATAATACCTCCTAGATTGAGTTGGGATCAGTTTTGTATAGTAAATAAAATAAATTGGGATTATTTTTTATCACAATTTCAATATAAGGGACCATTTTGGATTAACTTTATATAGTTAAGGGAATAAAATGAAGAAATAGAATATTTTATGACTAAATTGTCCACATGCAAATAATTAGGGGGCTATTTTGGGACTTAATATCTTGAAGGAAATTTCCTATTTTAAGCAAATATAATGATATGCTCCAAACTTTTTTTATTTTTTTATATGCTCCAAACTTAGGTGCAGAATGGGGCCAATATTCCATATGCTAAAAAATTCAAATATAAAACAAACTCCTTGTTTCATAAACCAGAGTTTAGTGTAAGCCATGAATGTATTATAGTTCATGCACATTAGTATGTTTGCATTAAACATAACTTATATTGCTAACATATCAGGATCAGGTTAGTGTGACACCATGGCCCCTCTGCCACAAATTTCATGTTTCCTAGGGAAACATTAGCAAGTTTAGATCCAAGCAAATAAGAGCTAACTTCATTTTGTTTCTCAGGGTTATTTGGATACAAAATCCCCTCTCAAAATAATATATTCCTTGTCCTCAACGTGAAGTTGCAATTCCAAGTGTACCACTTAAAAGGAAACAATCAGAATTTTGCTCCACTGATTTTTTTTTTTTTTTGTTGCATTTTTATTGTTATTTATTCCATCTTCTAATCCATTTAACCATGATGAAAAGTACCAGAAATTTGTTGTCAATTTAGGATGTGATATTGATGATTGCCAACCATTCCACCAATCTGATCTACGTCATACAGGGGCTCCAAGGAGACAAAAAAGAGCTGATGAATCACAGATTTGATTTCTTCTCCTTTTCTTATTGATTATTCCATCTTCTATTTGCGTTTAAACATGAAGGAATTTTGTTCTCAACTTGAGATAAGACATTGATGACTAATATATTTTCCAAGAACCTGTTCTCCATCAACAATGGCTGAGAGCAGCCTAGAAGAACTGACGATCCCAACTCCCAAAGTTTCAGTTCTTCTAGGATTAGAATTCCTCACCCGTTAAATCTGCTAATCCCTAGGTGATTAAATTCGCCCCTAAAAGAAATTTTGGTTGTTTTGCTTATATTATGGTTGCTTCCGCATGTTAAAAAAGACATGACCACAAGTAACGAAGTAATAAACTCAACCATCGATCATATAACATTAAGCAAGAGAAGCACTAGCGCACATACTGACATCTGAGGTATTCAATCAAGGAATAACTAACTTTTCAACAAATTTAAGAAAAACAGCCTATCAAAGCCCCCAATTAATCAACATCAAATCATAAATCGTTGTAATAAAAACAAAAACAAAAATAGAAAAAATTCCAGAAACCTCATTTAACTTGTCAAGTGTCGCCAGAGCATTGGTCTGCTCCTTGGGCTTCCCGAAAAGACGAGCAAACATGGTCGCCGGCTTCTAGACTCTTCTCCAAAGGAAGATGCCAATCTCAAATCACCAATCAAAGCCTAAATCTGCAATAGAAAATCAAACAACCGATCTCGAATCCTCCCCGATGAAATTCTAACCAGGATGAAATCCTAATCGATTTGATCAAAACGGAATGTTAAGGAGTGATCAAGAAAACACGAACAAAATAACAGATGTGCAAAGTACTGAGATCGATTGAGGGTTTAGATCTACCACGAGATGCTGACGGTTTCCCAGAGATATTGGGAGAATTTCGAAGACGAGCAAGAAAGTACTGTAGGTTTCCTTGCCGCAGGAAAAAAAAGAGGGCGAAAAAATTTAGTTTATATTTACATACGAGCTTATTATTTATATCCTACGCGGAATAAGTAGCCGCCTGATTTCCCAGCTGTTCTGGATTTCGTTCTTCTTAGAATTTACATACAAAACAATTAATATTGTTTTAGGATGATAATTTTAAATAACATATAAAATAAAACTCACATTGGTTTGTTTATTGAAAGCTTTGATTATCAGCAAGAAGATTTTAAGTTTGAGAATTATATATGTGATGTGTGTATGAATTTGATTTAATTGTCTTATAAATTCGAAAAAAAATATAAATATTATTTTTCTTACCCTGACAATAGCTTCTTGTTAGGGCAAACCTTTCCCTCACAAGTTGTACATCCAATCGATGCTCTCCCTCCAGTGCGACTATTTTATCTCTTTTTGATCATTGAGGGTTGTCCATATGTAATTGGTTTGTTCAATGCTCTTTCCTCAATAAGATCTCATAGCGACGTTCTCATCTCATTTTCGTTTTAAGGGGTTCAAAGTTTTTAGTAGAACCGCGTGGAGGGAGTTAACAGTGGTAGCTCAATAAATAAAAAATTATGTGTAAATACGATAGTTTAAGTAATATTTGTAAATCCCCTCATTTAAAATATGGGGGACTTAAAATTTATGGGGTTGTACTTAAATACAAATGATTTTTCACTAATTTATATATCTAACATATAAATATTTATATTTGTGTATATAACATCGTAACCCAACATCATATAAAAAATATTATAAATATTAACTTGATTAAAGTGGAATGCATTTCTTTTATGCATATTTTGATGAAATTTAGGCACGAGTGTGTTATATAAGTAGATTTAGATACTAGATATTGATTATTTATTGGAAAATCCATTTGATCAAGCATATTGGAATTGGAAACAAACATTTAGAACCATTTCAAAATTTTTGAACTCTAATTCCATCAAATATATAACTGAACTAAAAGTTTCGATGGAAGGAACCCAACGATATCAAAAATGAATTGCCGAGTCCAAATAAGATCAAACACTTTTAAGTATGGATAGAAACTGTATAACATTAACTGAGGAATTAATCAATCTCTAAATTTTGTATACTTATAATCTACTCGATCATTTTGATAAGTAGAATCCTACAAGTCCAAAATTCCTCGATTCCAAAGTCAGTAAGGTACTTAAACACTAAGGAAATACCTTCGATCAAGAAATCAACATGAGTTGTTAGATAGTATTTTGGACTTTGGAGAAAATAATCAAAATGCCTTTCTCCAAAATTATAAATATATTCACATTCTTCACATGAAAGTAGGAGGAGAGTACTAAGTGATCTGAAGAAATTTTTTGTATATGCATAAAGAAGCATAACAAATGGGTCAATTATTTCTTTGTTAGCTATTGAAAAACCTAATCTATGAAATTATTTGAATCAGATTTAAAGTGATCCATCTTGAAATTGATTTGGATTGATCTAAGCTAATAACTACTTGACTTTTAAAACCAAGTGATATCGACTCAAGGATATTATGAATCGTCATATGTTATACATTTTTTAAGTTAAAAAAAAAGATAAGGATATCGTAATGTGTTTTTCATAAGTATGGACTTCAAAGTCTTTGGATTTACACCAAGAATAGTGCAGCGGTTGAACTCGATGCAAATTCAAGAGTTTTGAAGTCTATTCTAACCTAAAATGTGCGAGGATATTCTTCGGCAAATTTTCTTCTTTAAATACTAAAAATAATCTTGGGGCTATCTCTTACTTCTTTCTTATTAGAGATGCAAATCATTTTGAAATGGGAACTATATCAATTAAGATGAGCTCTAATGCTTGAAAGTTGATAGTCTTATCGATCATAATGGCATAGGGGGGAGGCTTAACATCAATCATAGAAAGAAGTTTGTATCATGATATATTTTGTTGCATATATATATATATATAT